GTTTTTGCATTTGCATTTTATGCAAAAACGCATAAAAACGGAAAACTCTGCATAATTCCTGTGCGTTCTTAAGCCAATTAAAATCGTTTTTTGGCGAATTTTCGTCTACGGCTGCTTGTCTGCTTCCCTGGCATAGAATTGTTTTAATATAAAGTTAAGCATCTAACATGTGGAACACTGACTGGAACTTGCACGAGGCCATCAGTTTGTCAAATCTTTTACCGTCTGATCTGTCGACTTTGGCTAAACACAAGTTTCGCTTCTACGTTTATCTGTAGGTGTTCTCATTGAATGGTGCTCGCAAGAAAAAACGGATGGCATATCCGTTTAGAACCCAGGCTGGAATGCACTAGGCGGGCCGATGCGATTATGCGTTTTTGCACTTTTCATGCCGTAGCAAAATCGCAAGGAATCGCAGTAGCTACTCCTATGACATACGGCCCCGCAAAGTTCGGGAAGTTAGTTGTGCAACCATGTGGTATGTCAGTTGTAGATGTCGAATTCAGTGACCCGACAAACGGAAAGTTGTTGGCCCGCAAAAAAGGTCGCACCAGAAGAGTTAAATTTGATATCTTTTAGTCACTATGAGTAGGGAACACCTCCTTAAAATTAAAGCCTTCCAGCTTTTCTCGTTCCCGGGTTAACAGTTTTTCCTATCAAAATTTTCACGCGTCCGTAGATGAGCATCGGAGATCTTAAGGAGCTGAATTTGAAATTTTTTGGACATGTATGAGTGGGAAACATTCCCCTAATGTTTCAGCTTTTCAGCCTTTTTCGTCCCCGGGTTAGTGGTTTTCGCGCCAAAATTTCCGCGTGCCCGTGCATGAGCCCCGGGCGCTTCTGAGCACCTGATTTTGCTCGCAAATGAGTGAGAAACATTACCCTAAAGTTTTAGCTTTCTAGCTTTCCCCGTTTCCAGCTTAGCAATTTTCGCAACAAAATTCCCACCTACCCGTATGTGGGCCCGGGCGCTCCTAAACACTTGATTTTGGTTGTACACGAGTAGGAAAAATTCCCCTAAGGTCTCAGCTTTCTAGCTTTTTTCGCCCCCAGGCTACTGATTTTCGTGCTGAAATTTCAACGTGTCCGTACGTGAGCCTCAGCGCTTCTAAACACCTCATTTTGTTCGTACATGAGTAGGGAACATTCCTCTGAAGTTTCAGCTTCCTAGCTTTTCCGGTTCCCGGGTTAACAATTTTCGCACCAAAATTTTGACATAGCCGTGCGTAAGCCCCGGGCGGTCCTAAGGAGCTGAGTTTGAAAACTTTTGGTCGTGCATGAGTAAAGAACATTCAACTAAATTTTCAACTTTCTAGCGTTTCTCATTCTCGAGTCATGAATTTCCCCGCTATAATTTTCACGTGCCGTAAGTCCCGGGCAGTCCTGGGCAGCTGAAATTGAAATCTTTTTGTCACACACGGGTAGGGAACAGTATCCTAAGGTTTCAGCTCTCCAGCTTTTCTCGTTCCCGAGTCAGCAATTTTTCTGCCAAAGCTTTCACGTGCTCGTACTCAGGCTCATACGTACGTGAGGATTGATACCGCGGTCCTGGGGTGGCAATTGGTTGGGGAACACACTGGCAAAACTTCAGTTTCAAAGCTTGCGTGGCTGGCAAGTTGAAATACCCGGACGGACGAACAGACATACACACACAAACATACATATACACACACACAACACACACACACACACACACACACACACTGACAGGGTCGTTGCAATATGCGTTTTTTCATTTAAAACATAAACATGGCGAAAAACAAGTAAAACT